TAGTCTACACAAAGAGAAGGACTTGACAAGAAGACTTCATATTGTAATGAGTCTATTTGACGACTACGGCTGCTCATGCAGACTTCTGCTTAATAGAGCGCCGCGCGTGGCTAACCAGGATAACCAACAAACCAGCGGCGACATTTTTGTTCACCTCCACCTCGTCCACCTCGTGGAACCACTCCACGGAGCCCCATCGTCCCTCCTGCAATCATTAACACCGCACATTAAACGAGTAACGCGTTTCTTTCCCCTACCAACACCAATGAGTAATGCAGCAACTAACTTGGAACTTTTGCTCCAATCGGGAGAGCTCCACGGCACGCTGAGCAGTCAGAAAACCATCAACCATCGCCAAGGTCAACCACAGCGACTTCAAATTCTCCACACACGTCTGAAACCCTAAAGGCACAAATAATAGGCAACCCACCGCCGCATGCTTAGAGAAAAAGGAATTGTGAGATAAAATCGCTGACCCACGAGCCCCCACCGATTGAAGGAGAGGAGGTGTCGACTGATAAAGTCCCGTGATTCTTTCGCAATTGGAGTGACAGAGAAACCAGTAGTGACAGGAGGACGGAAATGATATCGACTTTCAATAATATCAAGAACCATGCCCCACTGAGACTCCTGTTCGGCAAAAAGCTCTTCCGGCGTCTCGATTCTGTAACTGTATGCACGATAATGTAAGGTGATTCAGCAGCAAAAGGCAGGCGGTCAATTCTCTATTCCGTGAGGGAGTCGAACTAACCAAATTGTGTCCGTGTCAGCATAGTCCATTATTCCATTGACAATTACCTCATTGGATCTTTCGGTTGGATTGTCGATCACGTGGTTACAAATGGTTGTCTATGCGCGGCAGTAAAAGCACATCAGAGATCGACCTAACCAAGGGTAGGGTGAAGCGCTCGATATGCTCCTTTTGCGATGCCCATTCATTAGCAACCGCAAGAGCCAAGCCCTCGTGTGGAACGCTGAAGATATTCCCACCTGGCGTACGTAAACGGCTTTTGTCGAGAAATATCTCAAATCCAGCCTCCGATGCGCCACCAACTGCAACAAATTTCACTTTAAGGCAACATTTACCAAAGCAATTCCCTGCAAGACAATCTGTGAAACGTAGGGATAACAAGAAGGTTCGCGATTGATCATGGAAGGCATACAGTCAGCTACATGCGAAGCTGGTTGATCATCACTAATAATAACGGCAATAAAGTGAGTGGCGCCATAGTTGACAACCATTCCTTACTAACTGCTTCAGAGGAAACATGCAGTTTGCTAAATCCCTACCTGAGCAAACTCCTTTCGCTACCCATACATTCTTGTAAAACCTTTTTAAAGGCGCTGAAGCACATAACCTGCATTACTCTTAAAATAATAGAACCTTGGGAAGAAATCCTAAGTCTCGAGTAGTGTAGACTGACACAGTGTGCCAAGTTGCGAAACAAGCGCATTCCCACATGTAGTGCACACCAAACAGCAGTGCGCTCTAACAGTCAAGGATAACGAATATCCGCAGATGACACAACTCGAAAATTAGCCAGAAACAGATAACGCCTTTAGTAGTATGTGGATATTTACTGGAGCAAATGCGGAAGGCGATAGTATTGCTAAACTCAATAACAAAAGCTTAGGCCGCGTAGAGCTAAACTGCTACTGGTTGATAACCTTGCCCTAAATTACTATATTATATATTTGTGCATGAATTCAGACCTTTTTTTTTAGTTTATTAAAAACTTTTTTATTAGAACCATTTTCTCTCTAGAGGTTAGTGTAGGTCACTTCTTTTATACACTTTCGACTGAAGCTTTCCAATCTCTCAAATCGCAATATGCTGCCTAATATATTAAAAGAACTAGTTTGATTTATACTTCCGCCTAGTTAAGATACTAGGCTTTTCAAATTAAGGCAGCGATTTTGGACAATCACACTGGGTAGAAGGGGACATAAAAATGTTCCTAGCATTCGTATTTTAGGTAACGAAAATGGGGTAGGGTATAAGAAATCATTAACGCAGCTGGATACATGCTTTCTGAAGGCTACAGGACAAATGGGCTTGGACATCATCCGAAGGCCAACCCACGTGTACAAGGGTTAGAAAACTTATAAAGTGACCGTCAAACGTCAGATAGTCGCATAAATAAAGCATTACACCACCCCTACCTCCTTTTGAGCCACGCCCTCGGCGCTCCTCCCCCCCCTTGGTACACCTCCCGCATCAGCCATCACAACACATTCGGTACTACAAGAAAGCACCCACGAGTCAACCGTACCAGTCCACAGACAGCATGAGACTCAGAAACCGTACTTGGTCTCCTCAGCAGCTTCAACTACATCTGAATTTGCGTTCGGTCTGACAATCGGATTCGAGGCCGCATACACCTGTTGGCCATCATTTGCTTCCAGGACTAGACGGTGGAACTCGGGCCTACTACAGACATGTTACAGGGGAAACGAGATGAGCCACTGTTCCGTATGTAAGAAGAACCGTGGTGTCATTTCCGACACCTATACACGGATTTTGTATGGGAAACTCCGACACGAAACCTTTCCAGATAGTTCACGACGGTGTCACTTTATTTGTTAATAGGTGAAAGCAAATGCAGACGCCAGTCTAAATCCTTTTGTTGTGACGGATTTATGGATCCTCCGTCATAAATGTAAATGCGTCTGTATCTTCTTTTATTGCACTTCGATAGATGGAGTCAGACTTCCTTCTTCGCTTGTATAGCTAATGATTGCCAGTGCACAACGCCAGAATGCGCTTGTTAATCTTGGACTGTTCCCCTAAAAAATGGAATTCCTTTGTAGTCTTGTTTGCTGGTTGGATCATAAACTTTTTCTCGTGAAAAGAGAGGTTTCGACCCGCTTTTGGGGTCCAACAGAAGCTCTTGCAGTCATCGATTACCTTTAGACTGAGGTATTGCACGTAGCTCTCTTAGTAGCTCCAGCTGGATCTGGATTTGCCTTCCATCTGACAGCAGGAATCAGGACTGCACACTTCTGTTGACTATCAATTGCTTCCAGCTCTGAATGTGGGAATACTGGTTCAAAATAGATGTTTGAGAGGGGCTACGGGATCAGACACACTCTCATATGGAAAGGGATTCGTTATAGTGTCATCTCCAACACCCATATGCAACTACAGTTCTGTGAATTCCTGTATGATACCCTTTCAGGTAGTTAGCGAGGCGTTGTTTGAGTTGTGAATAGCTTGCCTGTGGAAAAAGGAGATGGGATGGAGCCAAGCGCAAGCATTGAACGCGACTCTTCTGATGTGGAAATTCAGACAATCTTCCGCCTCAAGCATGTGCGCCTCCTTCTCAGCTTGGGTATTTGTTACAGTTGGTGTTTACTGGTGTGGAAGTGGAAAATGATAGTCGAGTTGGCTTTACGCTGCCACCAGTGTCACTGACACTTTCCGCCTTGCCCTACGACCTACGCCGCAAAGCAGTGGATGTCGGTACCACGCTTTTCTTGGATATCGAAGAGTGCTTTGAAGTTCTTGTCAAAGCGACGTCCCTCCAGAAGGAAGAATTCTCGGCTTCAGTCTTTTCTACCGGTTATAAAAACCTGGAGGGAGTGATGAAGACTTCACGAGGAATCTTCAGTTATTAGCCAAACAGGCATTCAAGGATTGCTTCATGGATAGCGGTCCAGTTCAAAAGGGGTGTGCGTCCACCCGCCTTGGCAGAACGACTGATGCACATGAGAACCAGTAGATTGAGCCGTCTCATCGACACAGCAGTTTCCAAAATCCAGGAGCTCCAATTATTAACGGAGTTCAACGCCCCTTTTCGTCCGTGGACACACAAAAACGGCCAACTACTGGCGGGCAAAGGCGTGCGCTCTGGAGCGGTCCCGCAGTAAAAAGTAAGACAGAATTTTCTTTGTTGTGTCTGCTTTCCTCACAATCTCTTACTTTTATGCGTGTACGGGCAAGATAGAAGGTCACACATGCTCCTTCCTTCTGGACTCGGGGCAGACTGTTCTCAACCAAACACACAAGCCTTCTCCAAGGTTAATATTACCCCACCGGCTACCATACTACGCTCTGCAGAAGGAAAAGAAATCTCGGTAATAGGAGAAGCCCCTATCAGACTCTCAATCGAGGAAGGAAAGTTGGGAGGTGAATTTTGTGCTGTATTCAGAACTTTCCAGGGACATACTTCTAGGAGCTGACTTCTTACGCCAGTCCCGCGTGAGTGTGGACTTCGATACAGGCATGCTCACAGCCCACCGATGGTCCAAGAAGAAGCATTCCATCCCTAAGTCAAAGAAAGATGCAAGGGATATGTGCAGATCCCTTTTCATTGCTCTTGCCTTCCCCGGGACCAATCGTAACGATCTCTGTGCTCAACTAAAACAGGTTACTGATAATGAGAGGAAGAAATTGTACTCCTTCCGGAATGTTTTCCTGTGAAGGCGTGAAACTTGGGCGAACGAACATAGTCAAATACATTATGTATACTGATGAGGTTAAACAGTTCTGGTAGAAGCCCAGACGCATAATACCACCCCTCCAAGAATAAGTACATCGATTGATTGACGAGACGCGGCGTGACAACACTATCAGGCCCTGCCAGTCACCCTGGGCCTCCCCCATCACATTAGTTGAAAAGAGTGACGGCAGCCTACGTCTATGCGTCGATTATGGGAGACTCAATGCAGTAGCAAAGAAGGATGCGTTTCCCTCCACCCGTTGGACTCTCTACAAGGAACGAAGTGGTTCTCGACATTGGACCTGTAATCCGGCTACTGGCATGAGAGGGTAGCGGAGGAGGAGAGAAATAATAAACAGCCTTCATTGTGCCAAATTGACTATATGACTTTCAAACAATGCCTTTTGGACTTTGTAACGTGGCGGCTACCTTCCAGCGACTTATGCAGACGGCATTGCGCGGCCTATTTCCGGAACACTGCATCATCCATCTGGATGACATCCTCGTTTTCGGGAGAGACATCAAACAACATAACTCCAACCTCCGATTAGTACTGGACCGCCTTCGGGAAGCAGGTCTGGCGCTGACTTCAAAGAAATGCGATTTTCTCCAAAAGTCGGTTACACCCCTGGGATGGGCTGGCGGTCACGGAAGACAGAACAAGACAAGTGAGGACGCGGCCGATACCTAAAAATCAAACGTAACTTCGCAGCTTCCTTGGTTTGGATAACTATTATCAGCGTTCTGCACAAGGTTCCGTCAGGATCGCAAGTCCCCTGTAAGAGATGACAGAGAAACAGGCAAAAAAGGAGTTCCGTTGGAAAAATGAACGCACAGAAGCGTTTAAGGAGTTGAAGCGTGCTCTCTGTGCAGCACCGATCTTGACTTTACCAAACTTTAATGTCGAAGCTCCTCCTTTCGTGCTGCACACAGACGCAAGCCATTCGACAGTAGGCAGAGTTCTATTCCTAAGAGACAAAGACGGGAGTAAACATGCGATCGCGTATGCCAGCTCACGTCTAGACACTACTTGGCAGGAAAGCAGTTAGTTGGGAGGACAGACCATCAAGCACTGACATGGTTGAAGTCAATGAAGGAGATCGATCGCTGTGTTGCGAGGTGGTACGAAGAACTCCAGCAATATGATTTTATCGTGCAATAAAGGAAAAGGAACTCTCACGGCAATGCGGACGCTGTGTCACGGGGTCCCTTATCCCCGGCCACGGATACCGATGCACTAGGAGCGCTGTTATTGAACGAGCCTACTTCCCATCACTGGGGAAACGCGGAGAGCTCCGATTCCAGTACAGCTTCAGCTTATGAAAGACTGAGGACATCCTCAGTCAAGTCCACAGTTGGCCCGCTGCCCACGACTCCAAGAGGGAAGCGTTATATTTTGGTGATGGTAGACTATTTCACCAAGGTCGCCGAAGCCGAGCCATTACAGGCGCAGGATGCTGAGACAGTAACAACGCTGGATCTGCCAACACTGCGTGCCTGATTCCTAACACAGCGACCAAGGGGCAAACTTTGAAAGCTGTCTCTTCAAAGAGCCGTGCAAAGCCTTCGGAATCCGTAAGACGCGTACGACGCCGGGTCACCCTCAAGGCAATAGGCAAGTAGAGAGGACAAATCGTACTCTTGCCAACTTATTGAAGGCTTTTACTAAAGAGGTACAGTCCGAGGATTG